TTTCATTCAGAATAAATCAATCAATTGATCTCTAGACTTCATAGTTGTAAAAGTCATGCATTTAAAGTAACCAGCATAAACCAAAGCAATGAAGTCTGTAGTTGATTTGAAAAAAGTGCTACTGACTGGATTGTAAATTGTACTACATCATTTTGAGAGGTAGTTTATTTTGAAGCCAGATGATAGATTAAATTGAAAACTGACAATTCTTTGCTGGTCAAGGCACGGAAGGAGAAAATACACAATCCTACTATAAAGATCTCCTGTGAATCAAGGATTAGGTTGGTGTCTCAGGTGGAGCTTCATCTGTGGCCAACCTTGGGAATGTTGTTTTACTCCCTGACTATAACAGTGGTTAGGTGCAAGCTGCTTCTTAAAATCACTTGTATTCAAACCAAACCCATACATCTTTAAAAGCAGTCCAGAGATTTGAACTAGCATTGAATTCTTACTTTGTGGTGCTGTATACTAATTGAATAGTCCATGCCCCCAGAAGTTTACCTTCTAAGAAGACGCAATGCACTGATGGAATATAGCAGAGAAGAGAAAAGGAAGGTGAGTGTGGCAGCAATGTTACTTGTACTGTTAGCTGAATGTACAATCTAGGGACTCAGGATCTGGGGGTAATGTATGTGTATGTATGTATTATAATCCTATCCCTTTTTTCTTTAGTTTAGTCATTTTTCAGATTAAGAGTTGATGAATCTATGGATTTCATTTTGCTTTCACTAAATCGCACAGCATAGCCACTCAGGAGTAAATTCTGAATGTCACGGTCATTGTGTCCACAATTAAATACATTGTATCCTTTGTAAATAAGCCATCTATATGAAACAATTTTATTAGGTATAACAGAGGCCCACACTGTGGTCTGAGCCCATTATGCTATATGATATAGACACATTACAAGCAGAGAAATGCTTCCAGTTGTCATGCACCCAGTGATTGTAAGCACTCTCACAATCCACCCCAGATAGCATGCATTATGCTGAGTTACTGGAAAAGCTGCAACTGTACTGCTTGGCCAGCGGAAGATGCTCTAAGAGCTACATGACCTCCATGTCTCTGCATCCCTGTTGTAGCTGAGTGAAAATATAGACAGAAGATGAGAAAGAAGTGGTAGCAGAAATTTCTGACCTATGTGACTTCCATTTTCCTCTATGCACTAAACCTTGAATACTTGTCTTCCCTCACTTCCAAGGAGTCTAACGCCTATAGCCATCTTCAACATAGATGCCACCATCCTCAGCTCCTACCTGGATGTCACATTTCATGCCATGCATCCCCATTTTTTCTCGAACCCCCTCCCACCAGCTTTTCTTAAAAATCAAGCAGCCTGGTAGCCATATATACTAGCATCAACCCTGCAGGCATCCTCTAATGCAGAAGGTAGATAAAATGCAGCCCACGGGCCAGATCCAGCCTGCCAGGCCATTCTATCTGGCCTGTGGGGCCCGTAAAAATATTAGTAAATTAATATTTATTTGCTCCTGGCTCCCTCCCAAAGCTGACAGGAGCCAGAGGCAGTGTAGGACCCAGGGGGAGCTTGAAGCAGGATTAAGTAGCCCAGTCCCACCCACCCCCAGCCATTTCACTCTCTTCTTGCCCCTGCCCTGCTCCAGCACCACGTGGCTCCCAGCTGTATCGCCAGACCGGGGAGCACAGAGCCATGCTGGTATGTGCATATGTGTGTGCGCACACGCGTGCAGGGGCAGGCAGTCTGTGTGTATGCAGGCAGCATGTGCATGCGCGCAAGGGCACAGAGTGTGTGCATTCGTAGGTAAGTCGTACACGCATACCCCACCATACACGTGCACCCAAACCCCCCTCTCACTACCATACACACATAACCCCACACCCCCTCACACAGCCCACCTTCCCCCACAAACCTATGCGCATTCCCCACAATATATAAGAGTAAGACTTCATTGTGAGTTATTGTGCAGTCACCTCTATGGCAACTACACAAACACAAGTAAATCAAGACAAAAATATTTTTTGAAATCAAATCAATAAATGCTGTAGTTGTTTGCTTTTTAGAATATAATTTGGTATTTTTCTGGTTCCAAGATGGCAAAACTCCTTGCTAAAAAGAGTACTCACGGGGGAAGGGGAGGGACTTCTGGTGGCAAGGGTCAGGGGAAGGGACTTCTGGTCACAAGATGGCGACCAGGGGTGGGGCACTTGTCAAGGGGTGGGGCTATTAATGTGGCCTTGCCAAAACTTGGTAAGCAGCCCTCCGCCCGAAATAATTGCCTGCCCCTGCTTTAAGGATACATTCTGAAATCAAATTTCTTCAAGCTATCTGATAGTCTATCCAGCCATTCCACAGCTCCCCCAGCATTTTGCCCCTGTGCATCTATCCTAGGGCACTTTTGCCACCTGCTCACTCTATACAGTTGCAGACTTCAGTACATCCCACCTCTTATCTCTGCTATTACATGTGGCAGGCAATATTATCTCTAAAACGAAGTAAATATATGCAAATTATTTGGTTTATGTAACATGTCACATATGAAGCTGCACAAATTTTGGACACTATAAAATTGTTCCTGCCCCAGAGAGCTTATTATAAGGGTCAACAACCCCTGGCACACATGTCAGAGAAGTGTGAGGCCATTTTGGTCGGCATGCCACAGCCAGCCTGCACCCCAGGCTCTGGACAGCTGCTGCCAGCAATGGAGCATGGCAGGCAGCTTGAGGGCTGCAAGCCCTGCTGTGAGCAGCCCTGACTCCATGGCGGCAGCAGTTGCCCAGAGCCCAGGCCTGATGGTGGTAGGCACCTGGGAGCATAGGTGACGCATATAGGGGGAAATGGGGGGGCCCATGCCTCCACCCGAGATTGGCCACCACTGGCTTCTGCAGGCGGTTGCTGCCCACCCCTGCCCCCCCACTCAGTGCAGACACAGCTGCAAGCAGTCCCTGCTCCCCCCAGCCCCCTGCTGGCAACGCTGTCAGTGGCAGCTGCAGGCATGCAGCATGTTGAGCAAGGGGCTGGGGCTGCACTGCCAAGACAAACATCAAACCCCTTGCAGCTTCCCCACCATCCACGCCTGGTATGCCAACATCTTCCAAGTTTGGGTTGTGGCGTTTTTTGGCACTTGGCCCAAAAATGTTGCTCACCCCTTCCTTATGATCTAAATGAGCAAGACAGACCCTCAGGAGAAGGGGAATACAGTGGAGTCGCATCTTACGCGGAGGTTAGGTTCTAGAGTCAGCATGTAAGGCAAAAATTGCTTATAGTCAAAATTACCCTTGAAAATCAGCTGGCCTGCACCAAACCCCTGCCAGGTCAGCATGCAGAGCTTCCCAGCAGGGTTGCTCCCAATGTAGCTGCTTGGCCTCATGCACAGCAATGCGGGGGGCAGCTGCAGGCTGCACGCACGCCAGGTCCCAGGAGCTGGCTGGGGGTGGAGGGAAGCCGGGGGGGCTAGCCCAGTGATATAGTCTGCTCCCTCCCCCATCCAGCTGCTCCCACCCAGGGCAGCCTGCACCAAACTCCCGCCTGGCAAGCATGCACAGCTTCCCAACAGGGCTGCTGGCCGCATGCACAGCGCTGTGGGGGGCAACTGCAAGCTGAATCCAGACAACTGGCACTCCAGGCTGTACGCATATGATGAATTTGCATTAGTTAAATGTGTGTATGATGCGACTCCACTGTATATAGTATAAGAAGAGTAAAAGCCGTGATTTTTAAGCACTTGGTTAGTTTATATTTTTGTTTGTTATGAGGTGCTGCTAAAGTATTATCTGTGGGGAAAAAAAGATAACACGCAAGGGGAATGAGGAGAAAAGAGGGCATTCGAGGAGATCAGCTGAGGTAAAACAGCTAAGATAGTGGAAGGAAAAGAATTTGAGCCAAACACCAGTGGGGGAAAATGTTTTTAGATTTTTGTTGATTGCACTTAGTATTTTTTGCATTAAATGCATACACGTTTGTGCTAAAATTCAAGTTCAGTCTGAGCTATCCATTTTTAATTGAAGTTGCTACAGTCCATTGCTTTGGAAGTAAAAGGAGAGAAATAAATATCTGAAGGAATTTTTCTAAACTACTTGTTTAAGTATTTTGGTACTTAAACATGTAGCCTGTCATTCTTTCCAGCGTTAGGCACTGGTTCTGTCCAGTGCATGGCAGACTGATGCTAAGCTGCTTTTATGTAAACTAGACATAGCCAGTTAGTCCTGGGATCAGAGTTCTGTCAGAATGTTGTTATTAAATAATTCTGTGTAATTTAACAATATCCAACCTTTCCCTAACATCTGAGTGTCCTGTGGCCATGCCACCAGATTTTTTAGCCCTGTGGGGGCCAACGTTATTGGCAGGTGTGCCACAGTGTGAGCCCCGCACCATGTCACAGGGCCATTCTGATCCCCTTCCCCTACCTAAGCTGTTGCTCTGCTTTCTACTTATTATCCGATCTGTTGCTCTGCTTTTTGCTCCCTACCAATCTATCCCTGTAGTCCCTGCTCCCTCCCTGATATGCCCTGCACTGTGCAGTGGGTAGGCCATCCCTGTGTTATCCTATCAAATGGGCATGCACTCATTAAGCTGTATAAATGCCACTACATCAGGCAGTTGGAGTTGCCTAGAAATAAAAGGACTGCTTCAGTCATTACATTTCATGGTCAGTAAGGACATGTGATTTGATATCAGCCAAGGAAAACCATAGTATAAACCAATCTAAATGTGAGGAGGACTTACAAATAGCCTAAAGATGTCAGAGAGCACATCTCAAGATGACATATTGCTGGGAGCATTGTGGGATGTAAAAGAATGAGGATTCCTCGCTAGAGTCTTCAGTGTGTGAACCCACAGTTTCCTAACAGTTGTCCATTGTCGTTTTATCACATGACTCAATGTCTTTATTCTTAAAGTTTTTAAAATAGTTAAATACTTCTCTGTTTTGATTATTTCTTTTGCTGGAAGCCACGGTGGTAGGAAGAAAACATCTGCGACATAACTCTCTAATACAATTTTGTTTTGATTTATGTTGCTCTAGGCTGCACAGTCGGTGCTGATTTCCCTATTTGAACTTAACACTCCAGAGTTTACAATGTTACTAGGTGCTTTACCAAAAACATTTCAAGATGGAGCCACAAAGCTTCTCCACAATCATCTCCGGAATACAGGCAATGGTGGCCAGGTATTTATGCTTTTAAAACTTTAATTTTGTTTTTTGCCTGGTAATTCTTAATATTGTTGTGCTTTTGTGGAGGGAAATATTGGGAAGAGGGCCTGACTTATGAATAGGAGTAAAACCTGTTCTTCCAAATGAATGTGTATATATTGGAAAAAGTTTATTTTCTTGCCATAATAATCTTTATGTTGGGGTGTCAAACTCATCCGGCCTCTGGAGCCAGATGACCAAATCTGAAAGAGTCTGTGGGCCAAATTGGTACTGACCACCTGCAGAGCCAGGTCCTGCCTGCGTACTGCACATGAAAACTCCTGGAGCCAACATGGGGTTCACACCAACTAGTTCATGGGCTAGACACTGTACTGCAGGCAATGCAGGGAATCATTCTAGGGTGCTGTATGCACTGCTACCATGTGCTGTGTGCAGCACTGGGTTCAGCCCGCATAGTGTAGGCAGGACATGACCTGTGTTGGCCCTGGAGGCTGCATGCACAGCAAGCCCTGGGGCTGGCTGGTCCAGCATGTGGTGTGTAGGGCTGGCCTAGCCATGCACATGGCATGAAGATGGCACAGGGCACATGCTCCATGCGGCATCCCTCTGACCAGCACTGCATGCTGGTTCCAGGACTGTCAGGGTGTTGACTGGAGCACATGCCCCATGCCGGCCCCCTGTGCCTCGTACAACATGCATGGTTATCAGCCCCATATGCCAAATGCTGGCTTGGGGTGTGTGCTACCTGTGGCACATGGGCTGGACCTGGCACTTCACATTGCACAGGGGATCTGCATCATGGGCTGCATGCGGCATCCCAGACTGCTGTCCTGTGCTATCTGCAGCACATGTAGTGCCGGATTTAGCCCACATGCTGCATGCAGCACACTGGACCAGGGCCTGTCCAGCAACCCAGGGACCACTTCACATAGCTCCGTGGGCCAGATCTGGCCTGTGGGTCTTATGTTTCACCCCTGCTTTAAGTAAACTGAAATAACTTTCGCTGTATTTAACCTTCACAAAAAGTAAATTTCTCCTGCTTATTTTTCAGTTGCTGAAGTTAGTTGCATCTACCTAGGGAGTCTCGAAAAGGAAGGGGTTGGATTAGTAAATTTTGTCCAGACGTTTCTGGTATTAAACATTAAGCACAGTATAAATGCAAAGGTAATGTCATTTTCTTCAGGAGTATCATTTTCTTTTCTTTCAGGGGTCAGTGGGAAGCCCCTTAACAAGGCCTACTCCACGCTCACCAGCCAGCTGGTCCAGTCCTCTCACTTCCCCAACCAATACATCACAGAATACTTTGTCACCAAGGTAATACAAGGCAGTATTGTAACTTCCCAAACTCATGATTGGAGCTTTTTTAGATGGCTTAGCCCCATCAAAACGTATAGAAAAAATTTAATCTGAATAAATCAAACACCAGACTCCAAGAATAATCAGTCCTCAAAAAGCTATCAGAAAGGAGCTGTTTCCAGAAAACATAACATTTGGGAAATAAACAGAAGTAACTGATAATGCTTTTCTTTGGCTTAGCTGCCATTTCTGCCAGTTGAGACCTATGTTATAAATATTATCTTCAAATAACTGATAGATTTAAATGCTAACGTTATAATCAAGTCCTCCCTTGTATGTTAGTAGTTTAAAAGAATAAACTATGGAGAAGTCCAGGGCAATAATACTTGCCACAGTGGAATGGAACAAAAGAAGTCTGCTGCTTCCTCCTGTTCTATAAATGGGCACCTCATCAACTAATTGATGGTAGTCAGTTTGAAGGAGCCCCAGACAGTAGTCACCCAACCAAAGGAGGACTACCATTTGTAGGCAGCCAGGCTGGCAAAATCAGAGTGCAGTTGTATGTACCCACTGTTCAGTGTGGACAATTGTGAAGGACTGACTCTGTCTTTGTATGGAGTTTAATCGTTATAGTCTTTGAAACTTTAGTTAGATTCTTTAGTTCCACATTAGCTTCAATAAAAAATAACCCAAAATGGGAAAATAAATCACATTTTCTTCCCCACTTCCTTCCCTATTGGTCCACAGTGCATTTGATTATGACACAGAAAACATGAATTCTGAAGACATATATAGTTCTCTTCGTGGAGTTACTGAAGCCATTCAAAACTTCAGTTTCCGTAGTCAAGAAGATATGAATGAACCTATGAAACGGGATTCCAAAAAAGACAATGATGGTGATTCAGTGAGTATTTAAATGAAAGACGATGATTGTATCAGCAAACCAAAATAGGACCTGATTTAGTAAAATTAGTTCATCTCTAAGTAGATTTGTATACTAAGATATTTTTTTAAAAAACCCCAAAAACACAACCTCTCAAGCCCCATTTCCAAAAGTTACTTAGAAGCCAAGTTCCATTGATTTTTCACTGAGACTTAGACTTACATTTCCAAGTGCCTAACTTTTGAAAATAGGCTCTTAAATCACACAGGTGCTTTTGAAAATGTTACTGCTAGCCTTAAAGCAGGGGTGCACAACATCCGGCCCAAAGGCTGGCTGCAGCCTGCCAGGGCAGTCCCAGTGACCTTGCCATAATTCTTTATTAAAGCACTCATTCATTATTCTTGCATAAGGATCAAAATATGGAAAAGTGTTTGAAAAACAAATCAGTGAGTCAAATTACTTCCCATCACCATAAATTGTGTCCTCACTGTGTGGTGATTTGCTATCTGTTCCTGTGCTTACATATGCTTTCTGTTTTCTCACTTGCAATCTACTGTATTAATTTGAATCTAAGACTTGTTCTCCCCCACAACCTCCACTGTTTAACATGGGTTGGGGGGGTCTGGCCTTTCTATTATGGATTGATTATCTGCAGTTTTTATATTATTTGTGTCTAAAAGCTTTGGGCAAAATGTGTAGACTAGACTTCTGGAACTCTTGTCACAAAGCAGCTGAAAAATTATCCATTTACTTTGGTGCCTTAAATACCTAACTTTGTTTCCAAAATGAAATTTTGCTCCTTTCTCCAGTGCAGTTTTAGACATTGTTCATATGCACTGTTTGAAAGGAAAACTAGGTTTTTTTAAGTGAGCGGAACTATTGCAAAAGCTCCTTGTACGAAGAAGCCTGGTATCAACTTTTTTAATTGGCTTGGTTTTAGTCACAATCTTGTTGCTTATTTTTATTCTCTACTATTAACCCTGGAGCTGCAATAAATTGAAAAGTGTGTGTGTACGTTTCATATGTTTTGTGTAATTTTTTTTATTTCCCCTGTAGCTATGCAGTGGTTCTGGAATAGCGGATCTGCGAGCAGGAGGTGGTTTTACTGATACAGGCCGAACAGCTCTTGATAACAAAACATCATTACTTAACACGATGCCTCCCCACTCTTCACCACGTTCACGAGATTATAACCCGTATAATTATTCAGATAGCATCAGTCCTTTTAATAAATCTGCTTTAAAAGAAGCCATGTTTGATGATGATGCAGAGCAGTTTCCTGATGGTAAGTCTTAATTATAAGGAAAAATGGTAAGTTTTTTTTCTGAATTTATGAACGATAGCCATACAGTTTTAACACCATAAATTCCAAGGCAGAGCTAAATTATTAGCTGTATATAAAGGTATTTGAAAGAACAGGTATGCTGAATGTAATAAATCGTATTTGTTAGACTTAGTTTATTGGATAGCAGTCCTGTCAAGTGAAATTTCGGATGAAGCAATCTTATAAAAGCAAATAGAATTCTAATACAATAAATACTGTAGCTTTAATTTATTTCCTTGTAAATTCAAAGTATTCTGGGAAAAGTAAAGGACTCAGTTAAAGAAAGAGAATTGTTATGCTTTATTTTATGCTATGTGGTTAAGCTGCAGTTTCTCTAAGTATATTTTAGTGCATGACTGGCAAAGGAAAATTGTTCCAAATTATGTTGCTTGTTACTACTTTTTAAAACATTTTCATGGGGAAAAAATCTCTGCAATTTATATAACAAAAAGCAAATGGGGCCACGCTGGTTCTGACTTCAGGTGAAAGATGAACTGGGCAGGGTTTTCCTGGTGAAATATTTTTATTTGAAACAGAAGTCTGGTATTGTGTGTTGACTAAACATTATGGGGAAAGAAAATGCATCTGCTGAATAGGTGAGTATATTTAATCCACATAAGCGTAGATGTTCAATTTGCTGCTTTGTAAGCTTTTAAGTTGCATTTTAAGCTTTCCTCATGTATGTTCTTGTAATTTTTGTCACCAGAAGTTTTATTTAGCATGTTTTCTTTTCATATTCTACATTGCTCATTTGTCTTCCCTCATTCAACTAGCTCATGGTGTTTTCTACAAAGTGCAGTCTTCAGTCCATTATGAACTTTTTGCCCAGTTTTCAATTGGCCTGTCATATTTTTAACCCAAAAACAAATTTAAGACAACCCTCCAATAATCAGCTCCTATACATGAAGAATTAGAACAAATTTATAAATATTGGAAAGTTATCTTAAAATTTGAAGTCACCGTAGAGTCAGGTAAATATAGGTATTTATTTGTTCCCTGTCTATTTTGTTCAGTATGTGACTGATGCATTATGCTTTCAGCAACAACCTAATTAATTTTTTTAAATTCTTTTTGGAACCATACCTCTAACTTTAGATTATCTTTTTTTTTTTTTTTAATGAGAGGCCACTATATTAGTATTGACTGGCTTTTTCCTTTCTGATGCATTGTCTGAAAGGATACTGAGATAGACTTAGGTGGAGTGGGACACTCTACTAGGGTAGCTTTACTGCCTCCCTTTGATTGCCCTTATGGACTGTGAGGAGTCACAGATATTACTCTCTCAACTATCACTGATGAACTTCTTCCCTTCCACTTGAAGGAACGCACAGATACATTTTCTCTTTCAACTTCTTCCCTGCCCCATAACCCATAAACATGCAACATACCTGTTCCTTGGGAGTCCCAATTTAGTTAAGTAGTGAAGTATATAAACATTACTTTAGACAGCCTCACATGCAGTTGCAGCTACTCACGAAGCCTGGTGAATATAGCTGAACCTAAGTAAATTGGATGATGGAAAAAGTACCTCTCTCCATCCAAATCGAACATAATTGTTTTAAGAACAAGATCACCAAAACTGGTCGCCTTTGCACTGTCTCATTCCTTCCGATTTTAAAAAAAAGATGTTGGTTAGGAGAATCCAAGCTTTTTGTATTTTATAAAATTCTTTTACCATTAGTATTTACTAATCTTCAAATTGTTTTGTTCTAATAACATTAATAGCAATTCTGAGTTCATACCATACTTTGAATACTGTTCTGGGTCCCAAAGAATAACTATATTATAAAATGTTAGTCCTGTAAAAACTGGTAAATTCTTAATTCATGAACTAAAGCTGTTATGTCTGAATGCTTTTAACACGAACAAAAATTTATGAGGCTGTCATGCTGATAATTGTATCATGGACTGATAGGACCTGTTTCTCCAATTTAATGCCAATATGTGTTCTCGGTATGAGAATTTATCATGGTAATTTATCTTCAAAACATAGTACACAGGTTTTAGCAGTAAAAATAATCACATTACTTCAGCAAAAGTATGTTCTCTGTTCCAGTCATCTCTGCTAATTATAACTGTCATAGGGTTGAAGCAGAACACAATTTCAGCCTGTCGTGTAGGTGAACTTTAATTGTCCACTTAAAAAATTCACAATGCATGCATTATTAATTGTGTAAACTCTAACATACTGATTAATAGAGGCAGGAGGAGAGGGATTTCTATAACCAACATTTTTGTTTTCATGTCCTTGGCTAGTCAGCCAAATCAGAATGCAAATGGAACAGGTGAGTTGTCTACTGTGAACAGAAGAAAGAGTTATGATTTAAATGTGCTCTAGATGCTGAACCATTTACCAAGACAGTAGAGAGATTCACTTTTTACTAGTGTATTCTCCTTAACCCATCCTGTTACAGAATAGTAAAAGCAGAATAATAATCTCACGGACTGTGTTTAATTTATTAGATCACAAGGAGAAATCAACAAAAATGGTTCTTGCAGAAATATTTCACATGTAGCTAGTGTACAGACAGACAAAACAATTGTATTGGTGTCCCAATTATGCTAATATAAGCTGTTACAATGAAACTGCTCCATCTGCATGCTCCTGTACCACCGCAAATGTAGCTAAATCATTGCGGGCACTGTTCTGGGTGTGGGAGGGGCTGCTCTTTAAAGTGGCTATCAGAGACGCTCTTAATTAAAGTGCTGTAGTGTCTTGTGTATCAACGTCCTCATGCTCATCAAACGACCCATAGTTCAAGTGCCCCTACCACCATTTTGAAGTGTGGGGATGCTGATACAAGAGATGCTGGAGTGCAGTAATTGCCACGTTCCTGTAGACTGCTCTGACTCATTGGAATTACAAGCCTCCGCACTTGTATACAGGCACCCTGCAATTTTAACTCTGAAATGAAACAAGGAGCATGCAGACCAAACAGTTATGATATAACTGTTATGCACACTCCTTAGCAGCAACTCTCCCTCCCTTTTTAAAGCAGTTTAAAATTACAGTTGTCCATAGGTGACTGGTGACGGTTGATAGGTGGTATGCAGTGGGGTTCAGGGCAAGTACTCTGTCATGCCTGGATCAGCTTTGTGCCATTGGGCTTGGGTGCCAAGCTCTGATGTGCTGAAACCACTCCTGTGCCATTGGTGTCCCAAAGCCCTGGTCCTCCAACCCTCTCCATCACCGCATCCCATGGACTCACCTGCAGAAGCAGCTCCTGAGTCCTGCTTGAAGTGGAATGGAAAGTGCAGCTGCCGGAGCAGCTCCCACCACCCTGCCAGTACTGCTGGCTGTGTGTGTGTGCATGTGTGCGTAGCACCCCCTGCCCCGCAGGCCCAGATTTTTTTTCCTTTTACCTCCTTTCCTCCCTTTCTATCAATTTCAGTGTTCATCAGTGTTTATACATAAAATTGATTAACATTAAATGTGGGGGGGGGGGGGGGGGGG